TCCCTACAGCACTCATCAGCACCTAACATGGTATATATGTATGTATTTATCTACCTATTTATTTATTATTTGCTAGTACCAGAATGTAAGTTCCATAAAGGCAAGGGCTTTGTTTTATTTATTGCTCTATCCTAAACCTTTAGAGCATATGCCTAATATGTTGTAGGAGTTCAGTAAATATTTGCGGAATAAATGAATTAATATATCTAATTAACACGTTTAATCTCAACTTCCAATATTTATCTACATTGATAGATAATAATAATACTAAACATATGTAGTGCCACACTTTCCCAAAGGCTTTCTTTGTATTAAATCATGTGATCCTCATACAAGCTTGTAAAGTAGGTGGTATTTCAGCAGTTTTACAGATGGGGCACTAAGGTACAGGAGCTGAATAACTTGCCCAAGATCAAACAGCTAGTAAGTGATGGGGCAGGGATTCAAACCTGGGCAGTTTGGCTCTGAGTCCATGCTGTTAATTTCTATGCTGCCTCTAAGTAGCTCTAGGTCATTTTTTTTTAACTGCTGTATAACCTTCCATTTATGAATATTCTGCAATTCATTTATCCAATTCTGCTGTTGGACATTTAGTTTATTTCAAAGCTTTTACTATTACAAACAACACTGCAGTGAATTTTCTTGAACTACTCCTTGTACACATTTGCAAGGAGTGGTACAGGCCTCCATAGGGTGTATATCTGAGAGTAGAATTGCTAGCTCATAGAATATGAGCATTTTAATCTTTTCCACATATTGCCAAGTTGTTTTCTGAAGTGTTCCTACCAGTTTACACTCCCTCTAGAAGTACATGAAATGTCTATTATTCCTCATCTTCACCAAGTTAGGAATATCAAGATTTTTATTTGCCATTCTGATGGTTATGAAATGGTTATGTCATTGTCGTTTTAATTTTTATTTCCCTGCTGATGGAGCATCTTTTTTCAGATATGTATTAGGCATCCAGTTTCTTTTTCCCTGAATTTTACATTTTTATATTCTTTGCCTATTTTTGTTTTGGTTGTTGATCTTTTTTTCTTATTGATTTTAGAGGTTTTTAAATATGTATTGTATGCTAATCTTTATTTAGTTTGGTCTTACAAATATCTTATGCTAGTCTATGAGTTATCTTTTCACTAATTTTATGAATATAAATTAATTTTAATATAGGAAATTTACCAGTCTATTTGAAATAGAAAGCTGTATTTAAATAGCAAACTATTTCTAAACTTTCAGATAAATTTAACTTAGAAACTATTCCCTTTATTCTAATTCTGTTTCAACAAATCAGAAATATAAATTACATTTATAGGCATAACTTTATTATAGCTGGGTCAGCAATTATATAGAGAAAAATAATCATTTGGTAAGAGAAAAATAATGAGTTTAATTGTATGCTGTTTTTAAAATTTTAGTTTTTAACTCTTTGGAAAAGAGTTATCTGCAATAATTGTTTGACAACATAAAAAAATGTTTCGAGATTTTAGTGAGGAAAAGGTTAGCTACATAAACAAGATAATATATAAAGTGTTTGCATAGTGTTTAGCCAACAGTAAGTAGGTGCTGGCTAGTCGTAGATGTTATAATTTTTAAAATATAACAAATTTAGACCTTTAAGAAATGAAAAGTTTCTTGGCATTTTGATTCTGTAGGTAATCATATACTTTAAGAAATAATGTTTCTTGGGCTTCCCTGGTGGCGCAGTGGTTGAGAGTCCACCTGCCGATGCAGGGGACACGGGTTAGTGCCCTGGTCCGGGAAGATCCCACATGCCGCGGAGCGGCTAGGCCCATGAGCCATGGCCGCTGAGCCTGCGCGTCCGGAGCCTGTGCTCCACAACGGGAGAGGCCACAACAGTGAGAGGCCCACGTACCGCAAAAAAAAAAAAAGAAAGAAAGAAATAGTTTCTTGAATTCCAGTCTCGTTTTAGGCTTCTGCTTTCTGATTCTTTGAATTGGGTTTCTGTCCAAAGTGTTTTCCAAATGTTTGAACCATTTGGAGCACAAAATGTCCAGGGTATGTTCATCAGCTACTTGTTCTTTTGCCCCATTTGGTTAGGGGAGACAATAGAAGATGCTGTTCGGAGAGAAGTAGAAGAAGAAAGTGGAGTCAAAGTTGGCCATGTTCAGTATGTCTCTTGTCAACCATGGCCTATGCCCTCCTCCTTAATGATTGGTTGCTTAGCTGTGGCAGTGTCTACAGAAATTAAAGTTGACAAGAATGAAATAGAGGATGCCCGCTGGTTCACTAGAGAACAGGTGAAGTTCAATTTAATTTCCTTCTTCTATTGATTCTCTGACTCTATTGGTTTGGGCATGTAGCAAGGATACATGTTTTCAACAAGTTGAATGAATGGCTATGGCCCCCTCATCATTCATGGATTACAATGTAATTGATATGCCCACTGTTAATTCCTTCTGTGAGATTCTTCTAGTGATGATTCTGTGCCGTTTTCTCATTTCAAATGCCGTTCCTTGAGATTAGTGATACCTTTCAGTGGCCTTAAAATGAGTGAACATTATTTCAGAGATGAGAAGCAGGAATATTATTATTAGACATATTTTAGTTTGTAGCATTAAAGCAAGTAACTCAAAAAATATCAGTAAAAATGCATATAAGTTTTGAAAAGTTCTTGTTCATTTTAAATGTACTTGACAAGACTGACGAAACTGTATACCAGGTACACTCACAGAACTTTTTAAAACTCATCCTTAAGTAATACAATGAAAGATAAATTACTTGTCTGTGTTTTGTATAACCCAATGTCTTTGTATAGAAAACAGATGGATACTCTACAGTAGTGAAGACCTGAAATCCTTAGTGACTTCACTTACACAAAATTAATTTTATTTTATGCTCAACCTCAAAAAAAGTAGAAATTAGATTTTTTTCCAGAATTTTATAAAAGGATAAAAGGGAATTTTTTTCCAAAAGTTGATTTTCACTTTGAAAATAAATGTGTAGCATATACTTTGCTTTTTCATAACCTTATTTTCATCAGGAAAAATGTCTTTCTGGAATATTTTAAAAATTGAATCACTGACTCAATGAAGCAACTAAAAATAGTGTACTAAATTTTGCATGTTGAATATGGATGTTATTACTTTCTCCTGTTGTTATTCACTGTAAAAGTCATTACATTTTAGTTGAATTATATAAGCATAGAAATAGTATTTAAGTATGACAGACAGTTTTAAAATCCTAATACATTTTATTGTGGTGTATTTTAGGTTGTGGATGTTCTGACCAAAGGGAAGCAGCAGGCATTCTTTGTGCCACCAAGCAGAGCTATTGCACATCAACTAATCAAACACTGGATTGGAATGAACCCCAATCTTTAAATCAAATAACTAAACTTTGACTATGTCTAATTGATTTCTTTTTTTTTTAAGTCAAAATTAAATTTTATTTCACACTGATAGAAACCGTGAAAAAGATTTACATTTTCCCACATTACAGCACAACATTTCAATGGAATATTTCTTGCCATAAATTAGATCTTGCTGATATGTGTGAAACAATAGTTTATATTCTTCAAGATAAGAGCAAAATGACTTAGTAAATGATTGTTTAAAAACTGTAAATCCAGACATAAACATATGGCTTCATTATTAACATCCTATACTATCCATACGAAATCATTTCCATCATCAAGTAGCACCCATTTATAAAGCATTCCTAACGGTGTTCTAGTCAGTTGGGATACAGCAGAAAAATTAACAACAGTTCAGAAATATCAAGCGTACACTTTTGCTACATATTAACCTGGGTGATAACTACACCATAAAAATCTATTTAAAATCAAATAATTGCTACTTTTATGTTTGCACAAAAACTAACTTAAAAAGATCCTCTCTGACTACAGTGAAAATTTCAAATAAGTCCATTGGCAGATAAAAGTAAAGCAGATTCTTTGAATGGGATTGTTCATTTCCTACAGCAGTCGGTTTCAAACCTATGTGCAAAATAAGTAAACTCAAAACTCTGTGCTACGAGGAGAATCATCTTAGAGCAAATCATCTTAGAAATGACAGTTTGTAAGATCAGTCTTAAATATTTCAAAACATTCTAGAATATGACCTAATTATTCTTCCAGATAATTACAGAAAAATACTACCACAGGATTATTCTCGTTACCTGGACCGAAGATTCTAGTAACTCTGCAGGCCTAAACTGCAGACAAAGGCCCAGTTTAAGAAGTAGTGCAAAAACTTTGAAGGGATGTCTGGTTTCTTTCTACAAGTATAAATACATTTTCAATGCCATCATGTCTGTGATTCAGAATGTCAAATTACAGCATGTATTGACAGCAGATGTTTATGGCAAGTAGGCAATATTTGGTCTGTTATGAAGGATAAAAAAGAAAGAACGTATTTCATTTCTAGAGAGGAAAAAGAATATTAAATAGAAATTATATTCAGGAAAGAAAAACCTGGTCCCCAAAATAAAAGGGCCATTAATTGAAGACAGCAATATTACTCTTTACTGACACTTAGAAGCATTATCCCTATAATTAGGAATAATGTAATAACACATTCTTACTATGAATTATAATCTTTAAGCACATGTGAACACATATATAAAAATGCAGATACTGCATGGTGACTAATTTGGGAATAAGTCCAGAGTGTAAGTCACAGCATGCATAAACTGTCTTAACTGCTCATTTATACCTGAACAAGTTTTCATTAAGCATACTAATAATTTTCAAGTGATGTAATAAAAAATCTGGTTGCAGTATTTTATTATTTTGCTGAATTACATTTGGGAGAAAGAAGCTAGCTGCTTCACCTATTTTAATACTAGTATATTCTGGATCATATTATACATAGAAACTTAACAGATCATAAATTTCCCACGAGGAGATTCATTTAGTCTGTATCATTGGTGTGTATTTGCAAAACATTTTAACACTGCGAACATCAGAGGTTTCAAGATTGGGCACAGGAAAAAGCTTATACTCTACGACGATGCTGGTGTACACTTCTCCACAAGGTCTCTTAGTGACGTCAATCAATGGGAGATAGGAGTTTATCAACGAACTGCTTGATATCCATCGTTTCCTGTTGACATGAACTGTGCATCATGCCTCCAGAGGTTATGAAGGTTACATTGGCTGGATTTACCAAGGTTTTCAGCCTTTCAGCAGTGGCGAACCAAACACTAGGGGAAGTAAAGGATCCAAATCTCCATGGCACTGAAGACTAGAAATGTCTATTCACGCCACTGATAGGACCCTGTGGAAAGGAAGCTCGCAGCAGCAGCCAGCAGCTGAGAGCGGTGACGCCGGCCAGCTTCTGCTGTGTGGTCAGTGCCATATACAGAGATAAAGCTCCTCCTTGAGAAAATCCTCCCAAAATAATTCTGTTAGAAGGAATGCCATTCTTCACCTCTTGCTCTATCAAAGATTTTACACTTTCTGCTGCTTAATTCCACTTTCATCTTCCTGTGAATCTGATGAAAGCCCAATAAATGTCAAACCACGTAGACATGGCCACGTTCGTATTTAATGTTGCAGACATAACCGGTCCCGTGTCTCGCAATCCGTGAAGGAAAATCACCGCAGCGGAGGCCTTCCGAACGGCGGGCACGGTGGCGGGCAGTGGGGCCGACGTCTTATTGCCGCACAGACACCGGCTCGACCCGCCGCGCGTCCGAAGCGGAAGGCGGTGCGAGCGCCGAGTCCCGCCCGCGCACGGGCGCGTGTCAGGCGCGTGCGCGCACACGCGGCGCCGCACCGCCCTCCGACCCCGACCTAATCGATTTCTAATCCTGTTTATTCCTCAAGTGAGATTAGAAGTGTTTAATGCGCTTTAGAACGTCACAACACAAATATCATACTTGGTTTTCGAAATATTTTCGAAATGTACCTTCCATCTTAACGATAAAATTCATATTTTTAAAAGTTATAACATTGCCTCAGCATTCTCTGAACTTTCTGGGGGAGGGAGTTGTGCTCCACAATTTTATCTCACAAAACCGTATTTCTAATAAGAGAAATGTTGTAAAGAAGTATGTGCTGAAAATGTAAATAAACCTAAATTTCAGCACCTCTTGTAAGCATTAGACCATTCACTAAAGGTCATTTTTGAGAAATGAGACAAAATAATGAATTTTGAGCTTGATTTTTAATACTTTCGTTATTAATGTCCTTTTGGTTGTCAGTAGCTGATTTTTGCTCATCTTCCCATTGTAGTCCACTTTTTCTCCTGGTTCCATTGTTCTAACAGTGGCACTGTTACCGTGTTACTACTAGTCTGTTTTGATCAGTGTTAAGAATTTTCTATTTTAACAACTCTATTAGTGAGCACTATACCACGCCCTCAGGTAAAGAGAACTTCAGTGAGAGAATACCATTGTGTCTGGGACCCCTTTCTTAAACATAAAATTAACATATCTATTTGTTAGCTCTACTCAAAGTTGTTCTTAAGACAAATCAGGAGTCTCTGCTTTTTCAGTGAAATTAAACATATCTGCAAGGAATTATTTTCAAGGTCAAATATTAAAATCCCAGATAGATTTACATATTTAATAAAAACACTGGCTTATGTCATTTTGTGATAAGGGAATGTATCTTCATTAGGGGAAAATTATATAATCATTACTAATAACATTTATTAAACTCAAATACAACATCTTGGTTTTGGCCTTATTTCAACACATTCTAAGAAACGCTTATTTAATAAGCATATCTTAGAACTGAAACAGTAAGATTTTAGAGAAAGTAAACTGTAGCATTTCACAATTTTGCAACATAAAACTCATATTTTATAAGGTTTTGAAATTGTTTTAAAAGGTACTTTATAAATGTATAAATTTATATAATTTGGCTCTTTACTATTCTATGTTGGAACTGGAAAAGAACTTAAAGACAATATTTGTAGTTCACTGCCCTTTTTTTATAGATAAGGAAAAGGAAATCCTGCAAGGTGAATTTAATTAATTTATCCATTAAAGGTGAATCGATTAATTAATTAATTGGTGAAAGTCACACAATTACAACCACTTACAATTGTTAATACAATTAATTATAATTAACTTAATTACAACAGTCTGTACTGTATAACCCAGTGCAGGATTCTCCCTCTAATAGGAAGTAAAAACTATTACTCAGGGCTTCCCTGGTGGCGCAGTGGTTGGAAGTCCGCCTGCCGATGCAGGGGACGCGGGTTCGTGCCCCGGTCCGGGAGGATCCCACATGCCGCGGAGCGGCTGGGCCCGTGAGCCATGGCCGCTGGGCCGGCGTGTCCGGAGCCTGTGCTCCGCAGCGGGAGAGGCCGCAGCAGTGAGAAGCCTGCGTACCGCAAAAAAAAAAAAAAAAAAAAAAA